TTCTGTCCAATTGTGCAAGACAGTTTGGGGGATAATAAAGCACAGAATTTAGAGTCAGAGGACCTGCAGTCAAACAAATCCCAACACTGTCACTACTTGTGAGGTAAGTGTAATTATCCCCAAATTACAAATGATGAACTTGAGAATTAGGGAGGTTAAGTAATTTGCCCAAGGTTATACCTAGTAAATGATGGAGCTACAGCTTGAATCTGTGTTTGGCTGGCCCTGGTGGCGCAGTGGTTAAGAGCTACAGCTGCTAACCAAAAGGTCGACAGTTCAAATCCACCAGCCGCTCCTTGGAAACCCTATGAGACAATTCTACTCTGTCCTGTAGGGTCTCTATGGATCAGAATCGACTCTACGGCAGCGGGTTTGTTTTGTTTTTTGTTCTTTTTGGGAGCTGGCTACAAACCTGGTACGCTTTCAAGACAACTAGACAGGAAAGTTTGAAGAATATAGTTTATTTTGGCAGAAAGAGAAGTTTAATTCATTTAACAGCTATTTAATGAGCACTGGATCCAGGCGTTAGGGCACAGCAGTGAGCAAAAGGCAACTAAAGCTTTTGTTCTCATCAAACTTAGAGTCTTGCTGGGGGAGAAAGTGAATTTATTATATCAAGAGGTGACATTTTTATGAAGAAAATTAAAACAAGGTAAAGGAAATAGGAATAGAGTGGTGGTCGTAAGATACTATTTCCTATAGAGTGGTCTGATAAGTTGACACTTGAATAGAAATCTGAAAGAAATGAGGAAGTGAGCTGTGCAGATATTTGAGGAAAGAACCTTTCAAGAAGAATAATAATGATTCTGAACCAAAAGAAGCCTTGGCATCTTCCAGAAACAGCCCGGAAGTATGTGTGGCTGGAGAACAGATGAATTCAGAGAGTTAGCCAGGGAAGAGCCATGTAGAACTTGGTAAAACTTAGTTAAGGTTTACTTTTTTCTGTGAGTATTTAGAGGATTTTGAATGTAGGAGTAACATAATCTTACTTTTCTAAAAGATCACTTTAGTTATTGTATGGAGAAAAGAATATAAATTGACAAAGATGGAAGCAAGAAGACCAGTTAGGAAGCTGTTGCCATAATCCAGGTAAGAAAGAGATGATGATAGCCTGGATTAGAGTGGTGCTGGTGTAGATGTAGAGGAATAGTTGGATTAACTGTATCATTTGGAGGTAGAATGACAGGATTTGCTGATGGATTGGGTTTGAGGGTGTGTGGAAGGGAAGGGGCTCCAAGGCTTTTGACCTAAGCAAGTGGAAGAATAAAATTGCCTTTTATTCATCTGAGGAAGACTGTGGGAGAGACGCATGGGCGACAGGTAGAAAAGCAAATCTAGGAATCGGTTTTTTACATATATCAGTGAATTATATTGAGTTTGAGTTATGGTGGGACATTCAAATGGATCTAAATTCAATAGTTATCCAGGTAGGAGATAAGAATACATTTGCCATTCACCTATGGATGATGAGAGCCATGGGATCAGATGAACTTCCCCAAGGATGTGTATAGAGAACAGAGATCTGAGGGTAGAACTTTAGACAATGGCCACATTTAAGGAAATTACTTTCTAAGGTTGCAAACAAGATAGTTCATAAAAGTATAGAAATTACCCATTATTGTAAGCCAGAGTCTATACTAATGAAAGAATAACAGCAGGTTTTTTTGTTTTTTTGCTATGGTATACTTTTAAAAAGAAAAAAGTAGATACGTAGAAATTAGCTTACCTACACTGTAATTAGGTGAAATAATAAATTGTTTCTGAGTTCAGTAGTACTATCTTTGTGTATGTAATTAAGGTCGTAAAAATAATGCTTTAATTTAAACATGCAGTGTCAGTGTTACAACAGGCATTTGTGAATTGTTCTTGTCTTTAATGTTTTTTTTTTTTTTTAAGAAACTTGCTGTTAACTGTGATCTGTTCTTTCAGCATCTGCTACATACAAGACATTAAGCACTATGGTTAAAAGCTTTCTTGATTATTCATGTGGGTAGTAAAAATTATCCTTTAACTGCACAGTTTTATGTTTCAGTCTTTAAATTGTCAAGCATAAACAGTGCTGTTTCTACCAGCTAGGAATTATGAACAGTTCATACTCTATAGAATCGCTTGTGGGCTGAGGCCGAGCATAGAAAGATTAGATTTATAAGTACATACTTAAAAAGAATAGATTGCTGTTGGAGAAAGGAAAAACCACATTTTTTGTTTTCATGTTGTGACATTGTAATGTACATGCAGTTTCTTCTTCCCACGATATCCGTTTAAATTCCCCTCCTGTTCTTCCCAGATGACTTTTCAACACCCTAATGTTTTATTAGACTATAGCTCTTGTCAGTGCTTCAGCTTTGGGGGTAGTGAACTGACAGGGATACAGTCCCTTGCAGACCAGATGTTAGACCATCTCAGTATAGTCACAGATGATTAGGCTGTGAAAGAGACTCACATGAGACTGATTTAAAACCCCATGATCAGAATGCTGAAGTCACCTGCCCCCCTTTGAAATAACATGGTGCTTTTGGAAGAATTATTCATCAGAAGGCCGCTTTGTGAGTATAGAATTAGAAACAGAAATATGCTCTGGAGCATGGAATATGGAGTATTTCACCTAAGCGATGGGAAAACCCAATGTAATATTCCAACTTCACAACAAAGTGCATACCCTTGTAGTAACCATCTCCAGGATCTTTTTCTCTTGAATGATACTGATTTTTTGCCTTTCTGAACCACATTTTGGGGGGGGGGGGTCCAAACCATTTTTTTTAAGGTGCTTCTGAGGGGGTCGAAGGGATGGGGACAGTGAGATCTGATGACCCGGGTCGTTCTGGAGTCTCTAGTACCTCGCAGCCACCAAAAAACTGAACTACATTTTTTGTATTGGCTGCCCTGTCTTTATATCTCCCCTTCGAGATAATTAGGTTCCCTAATTGCCTCTTTATATTTCTTTGAATTTTCCAGTCTGTTGCACGGTGCTTTGTACATTATAAGAAATTAGTAAATATTTGTTAAAAGAACATTGTTGTTGTTAGTTGCCTTTAAGTCAATTCTGACTCTTGGCGACCCATGTTTTACAGAGTAGAACTGCTCCATAGGGTTTTCTTGACTGTAATACTTTTTTGTTTTTAGAAACATAAACTTTGTTAGGTAGAAACCTTCCTCAAAATACATCAGGAAAATTCCTGTTTCCCTATTGGCCAGCTTGCCTATTCTAAAACCCCCCATTGTTAAAGAAAAATAATAGTTATTGTGTTAGGCTAAATAAGATTTACCCTGGGGGATGAAGCCAGCCTCTCCTAAAGAACATGGCCAAGTGGTGGACATGGATACCTGAACAAAATACAAGTTCTCACTGCAACAGTGAGTAGAAATGATTGTTACGAAGGTGTTCATTAGTGTAATGGGGTGAGTTCTTGGCCGTAATCTTAAGGGAAGCAGACCGCCAGGCCTGTCTTCCACACTGACACTGGGTGGGTTCTAACTGCCAGACTTAAATTTAGCAGCCAAGCGCAAACTGCGCCACCTAGGGACCTTATAATTACCATCTTAACTGAGTGGCGTAGATTCTCTTTTCTCTGCATATTTACAGATACAGTGTGATGATTATGAAAATCTAAATATCTTAGTTCTAATACAGTGAAACTTGTCAGAGCCAGAACTCAACAGGACTGCCTTGTTTTTCCGGGTCTCGCTAGTTTTCCACCTTTGACAGGTTGCAGTTTACCACGTTTCTATCACTCTCTCTTAGTGGGAAATATTTGAATTTTCCTTCTCTGACAGGTTTCCACCTTACCCAGGTTCCAGCTTTCGCAGATTCTACTATACTACGTTTGTCAATATTTTAATTTGCGACTTTCACCTAGTAAGTTAGCACCCTAATTTCTACATATGAAATAATGAATATCAGATGCAAATTTGCTTCCCTTATATATTGTCTGGAATAACTTCTTTAAAGGTAATGAACTCTTGACTATGTTTTAGAATAAAAATTTTTTTTTTTTCAGAAAAAAGTTCCCTGGATGGTACAAATGGTTTGTGCTCAACTACTAACCTAAAGGTTGATGGTTTGAGCCTGCTCAGTGGTACCACAGAAGAAAGGCTTGGCAACCTGCTTCCATTAATATTAAAGCAAAGAAAACCCTACAGAACACTTCTCCTCTGTAATACCATGAGTCAGAATCGACTCGATGGCAATGAGTTGTTTGTTTTTTGGTTTGTTTATATTTTAGAAATACTTAACGGTAATTCTGAAAATTTCGTAGAACATCTCAATTGTTTCTAACTAGAAAAGGGAGGATTAAGGTTTAATTTTGTTATGTTTGTTTCCTTAAATCTGAACTTGATTTTGTAGGCCTCTTTTACCAGGTGATTTGACTTCTCTGATACTTCACCAGTAAAATTCTGTATGATTACTGGATCGTAAAAATCTGCATTTAGTGCAGTTCCCTGAGCTCTTAAAAAGAGTTGTACAGAAAGTTGAATAATCCATAAGAAAGAAAAACAAACTAATACATTATTTTGAATTGCTAAATAATCCTACAAACCCAGCATGTGAGCATATCTTCCTTCTTCCCCTGCACGCACATGAATCACGTTTATTAAATATTCACAGTATCTCAGGAGGTAGCCATGTTTTATCCAGAAACATCAGGAGACCTGCTCTGCTACTAAAAGCTTCATGGTTCTGAGCAAGTCCCATAGCCATATCAGTGTCTTTATCTATAAAAGGAGGGCACTATGCTAGATAATCTGACGACCCATTCTAGTCCAAATCTGATCTCCACTCTTCAAGCTAGAGTAACAGATTATGCCAAGCAAGGAGGGGCAATTTTATTGTTTAAAGACTTGTGGAGAACATCAACTTGTTTTATATATATGTGTGTGTGTGTGTGTGTGTGTGTGTGTGTACATATACGTATATATATTATGGAGCCCTGGTGGCAGAGTGGTTAAAGCACTCAACTGCTAATTGAAAGGTCGATGGTTTGAACCCACCAGGTGCTCCACAGGAGAAAGATGTGGCAGTCTGCTTCTTTAAAGATTTACAGCCTTGGAAACCCTATGGGGCAGTTCTGCCCTGTCCTATCGGGTCGTTGTATGTTGGAATAGACTCGACAGCAGTGGGTTTGGTTTTATATAGAGAGAAAGCGAGAGAGAAATTTATATATGTGTATATATCCTGTTTGTATAATGTAGTGGTTATCGAATTTGAATATTGTACAGATTCCTCTTCCCCCTTTTTTTTCAGATTCCTTTTTAAAGTAAAATAATTATTACAGCCTCTCAAGAGTGTGTCTTCTAACCCATTTTGGGCAACACATACTTAAATCTACAGAAAATGCATGACTTCCACAGTATACAAGTAACTACCCAAGCTCCAGCCATCACCCCACTCTAAAACCTTTGTTTAAAAATCCCAAACAACAGAACAACAAATCTTAGAGCTTTGGAAGAATTTGTGCCTTCGGAAGCAGAAAAGTAGGAAAATCTGTGAAGAAGAATACCAGAATATTGGGGAGTAGTCCAGGAAGAGATCTAGATTATCTTCTCTTCCCCATGGTATATTATTGAGTGAAAAAGCAACATGAGAGCATTATGTTTAGTATAATAACCACTGATATTGTGTATATAAATGTTGTGCATATACAAATATCTGGAAGGATGTACTCCATATTGTTAAAGCCTACCCCTTGCACAGTTGGAGTTAAGGGGGGGAACATGCACTTTTTACTTTATACATTTCTTTGTTTTTTGTTTTTAATATAATAATTACATAATACTTTTATTAAACAAAGAATAAAGGCCTTCTTTCTATTTTTACCTATTTTTCTATCTAAAATTAGATGACTTAAAATGAGTTTGGGCATCTTCTTTTAAATATAGGAAGACCTCTGAGAAAATTCAAGAATTTGTATTGCTAATATATTCAAGTAAGTTAGTTTAATATGATTTTTTCCCCCTGTACCTTCCTGGAATTAACTTTATTAAAAGAATACAGTTTGGGGATGTGGATAAGAAATAAATAATTTTGGAGCCCAGAACACTTTGGGGCACTGAACTAAAATAGGGGGAAGGGTGAGATGCCCCAAGGTTAG